GGGGGACAAAGGGTCCCCTTGTTTAAGTCCTCTGGTGGCTTTAAAGAAACCATGAAATTTCCCATTTATAAAAATTGAGTTTGTGTTGTCCTCCAACCATCTTTTATTATCTTGCAGCAATCCCTGGAAAAGCGCCTAGCCTCCAAACAGTCAATGATGATGTCCCAGTTAACCATGTCATAAGCCTTCATTAGATCAAGCTTAAAGATTGTATTAGCCCCTCTGCAAGGTTTCTCCAAATCAACAGAAGTTCTTGAGCCAAAAGGATGTTATCCCCAATACTTCTACCTTTAACAAAAGCAGCTTGGTTAATGCTGGTAAGGTGAGGTAAAATTGGCTGAAGCCTGTTGACAATGATTCTGCTTATCATCTTACTTATGACATTGTTTAAACACAGAGTTCTGTACTGCCTCCAGTTGTCCTTGATAGAATTCTTTGGGGTAAAAACAATAGTAGAGGCACTGAAATAGTTAGGGAGTGAGTTTCCTTTGAAAAAGTGATGAATAGCTATGTAGATGAATAGCTATGATCACCTCTTCCTTGATGACATCCCAAGCCTTCTTATAGAAGTCAGAAGAAAACCCATCAGGTCCAGCTGATTTGGAACTGTCAATAGAATTTAAAGCAGCCATTCTCTTCCTCATTAGGGATATCAGTTAAGTGCAGATTGGCAGTGTACTTCTTGCTGTCTCTATCATCTTGTTCTCTATCCCTAGTGGTCTCATTCATTAGGCTTTGGCAATACTGTACAACACTTTCAGCAATGTCCTCATCCTTCCTAAGCCAAGTACCATTATGATCTTTGATAGAGTGTATAGTGTTGCATTTCCTTTGGTATTTGATGCAGGCATGGTAGGATTAAGTATTTATATCTCCATCAGCAAATTTAGTTTTTGCAGCCTTTTTCCGAAGGAAGTGGTCCTGCCATTGGATGGCATTTAGAAGTCTCTCACTAGCCTCAAGGAGAACAACCTCATCAATCCTTCCTTTTCTATGCTCCTCCTCCAGCTCAGTTACCTCCTTTTCAGCCTTATCAACAATCTGTAGGAGGTCCCCAAAGGCATTCCAGCTCCACGGTTTAAGGGATTTAGCAACCCTCTTCTGATTAATCCAAAGGTTGATAAATGGGTCAGGGTGAAGGTCTTTCTTCCACTGATCTTTAATAATATTCAAGAAAGTTAAATGTTGAGACCAAACATTCAAGTATCTAAAGGAGCTTTTTTAGTTAGCCATCTTATTCCCAATAGTAATCAGTAAAGGTCTGTGATCAGACCCAGCAAAGCTTAAATGGGTAACAGATGTATGCAAGAACTGTTGGATCTAGTTGTCATTGGCCAGAACTCTATCCAGCCTTTCCCACAGCTCCTTCCTTCTCTAAGTAAGGGTAGGACCATAGAAACCCAGGTCAAATAATCCAGTTTTTTGGATGTTGTCATTGAAGAAAGATATATTAATGGGGTTGGGAGGTTTGCAATCCAGAAAACTAAGAAGAAAAAGAATTATAAAGAAGAAGGACAAGACCTAGGGAAAGGAAAGGAGCTTCAGGGTTTGGAGGTCAATGCTAATCAGATAAGAATGGGTTCAAACAAATAAAGAGGGAGGACGAGGTCCAGGTCCCAACCTTACTCTTCTCCCCTTTCCGCATGATTAATTTGTTATGTTGGAACATTAGGGGGATTGCCCACCCCGTATCACTGAAAAGACTCAAATATCTGAATAAGAAGCACAAACTTTGTTGTATTGCCATTTTGGAACCTATGGTTCACCTCAACACATTGAAAATTGTTGAAGTCTTCCCTGGATTCAATTTGTTTACTAACATCAATAACAAGATTTGGGTTTTTTGTAGGAAAGAAATCCAGTTGTCATTAGTCAGAACTCTATCCAGCCTTTCCCACAGCTCCTTCCTTCTATAAGTAAAGGAAGGACCACAGAAACCCCGGTCAAATAATCCAATTTTTTGGAAGTTGTCATTGAAGAAATATATATTAATGGGGTTGGGAGGTCTGCTCCCCTTCCTTTCAGCAGGAGAAGAAACGCAATTGAAGTC